CATAATTTTTCTTTCTCATCGGTCTGTAAAATACCGGTGCCTCTTACAACTGACAGTACCTTTGAGTCAGTGAAATGCAGTATTGGAGGAGGGTACAGCTCAGCGGTAGAGCCCGTGCTTAGCACGCGCAAGGTTCTGGGTTCAATCCCCAGTACCCCCACTAAACAGTAAAATAAAAAATTAATTAAAAATACTTAAAGAAACCTAATTACCGCCCCCTCCCCCCAAAAAAAATCAAGAAAAAAAGAAGAAATTCTGTGTCGTTTACATCCATAACAAGCAGCAGCAAGAACCTGGTTGTTCCCAGATTGTCTAAGTTCTCTCAAGTTGGTTGCAAAACTAGGATTAGAACTTATGAGGCCTTAATTCTTGCCTAGCTCCCTTGAACATCACCTCGTGCCATATTTCAGAAAGGTTGGTTTTGAGTAACCAAATCATGGGCTGGACAGCTAACTAGAACTGGCCACCCTAAAATATGGCCACTCTGTAGGCCAAACCAATGAGAGAGTTCTATGCAGGCAGAAATCTGGCAGTCCAAGGACAAGCTTAGCTGTCACCATAGGTTTGGAAGAAAAAATGTACATTGTCGTATGTGTCACTGATTTTTTTTGCTAATTATCAACTATAATTTTGTGGAAATACCCGTTAGCCTACTTGTCTTCCTCCCACTTTATTTTCATCTTTAATTTCATTCTCACACGAAAGGGACTTTTTGGTGTGAATTTTTACAATTAATATTCATGTTATAAAAAATTGTTAGGTTAAATCATATAAAATTGACAGTATTTTACCATTTCTGACCTATAGAATCAGCAAGTTTATGTAATTTAATTGAATACATATCATAGACGTTCATGTAAAGCAGTTCACAGAGTTGTTTATCATTACTGAGAGCCTTCTAAGTACAATAGCTCTTCCATTTCAGCTTCTGCCAGCTCTGCAGAGTCTCTGCATAACACTTTTTGGGTAGCTGAGTTCCCTCTGAAGACCTTCATTTGAAGTATGTGTACAGTATTCTGTCCTTTTTAAAAAACTCAATAAACATTTATTGCACACTTACTGTGGGCTAGGCACCATTTTCAGCCTTGGATACAAAGATGAGTGCATCACAGTCCCCAATTTCAGCAGTGTGCAGTCCAGGAAGGGAGACAGGCATGGACATAATTACAGTGCAAAATAGCAAGTAACATAATGGATATAAATAATATGCTGAAAAGGCACTTACCCTGCCTGGCAGAGCAAGAAGGCCTCCAAGCAGGTGACATTTGTGCTGGTTTTTGAGAGTGAGCAATTTGCTTGGCAGAGAAGAGAGGGAACAATACAACATCACCAAGCAGAATGGCTTGTTCAAAGTCACAGGAGCACAACAAAGAAGGACGTGCTTGGAGAACCTTGGTTTGAATGTAGATAGGACATGTGGCAAAAATCACAGAGAAGCAGCAAGAGAGGAGGCATGGATGGAGGTAAGATCTGGTTATGAAAAGCCTTCCATGTGAGGCTGGGGAATTTGCATTTTATTCCACAGGTGAAGAGAAATCACAGAACATACATAGGTTTAAATTGCTTGGATATAAAACCGTTTTTTTTTTTTGGCTTTAAATTTATATGTCCAGTCCAGTCATCACCTAAGTGTATGAAAACTTTACATTACCGACCTGGAGCATCAGCTTCTGCAGTGAGAGTTCTTTCTGGCCCCTCCAGGCACACATGTAGGCAAAGCACCCTGGATTTCCAAGGGGTTGTTTCAGCCCTGACATCTCTCTTAAACACAGTCATGAAGCTGTGGTTCCTCACTGTGGCTGGAAGCATAGCCAACGGCTGCATTATTGTGAGAGATTGTGGCTTTGACAATTATGTGCTTCTCTACTGCAGAGCTCTCTACTTCACATGGGTAAAGGAGCTTGCCAACACACCCTTCATGTTTTCATATTTTCCTCCTTGGGTAATTGCAAAATGGGTGATTCCACCTAAAGGCAGCAAGATTGATTTCATCCAAACTGCAGACTGGCTAATCAGTGGCCCAGTTTTCTAGCCATGTGATCTGGCATCTGACATTTACCACTCATCAAATGAAATTACACAGCACCGATAAATTACCAGCTCACCCCTGGGCAGAACTTTTTCCCTTAAGCTACCTCCTGCTTAACACTTGTGTAATGTGTAATAGTACCATGGTTTATCTATACGGGGACGTCAGCTGGAATTTATCAAATCTTTACTACAAATGGAGATTTATATGTGTCTATATAAATTATATATAGACACACACACGTATGTATGTATATGCATATGCATGAATGAGTTATCCCATTTATGTGCATTTTCCAGATGACTATCAAACATCTGTTTTGTTTTACGTAAATCAAGTCTTTGGAAATGCTTTTGAAGGTGCTGGAAGGGTGAGTTCTAGAGTCAGCCTTCTCTATTCGAATCTGTTTCTTCACCACTGATTTTCTGTCCCTGGGCAAGTAACAATGTTTCTGAGTCTCAGCTTTCTCATCTATAAAATGAGAACAGTAGTAACTGCTTTGTAGGTTGCTGTGTGAATTAGGAGGGATGTGTATGTAAAGTATTTGATATGCAGTGAACAATTAAAAATACCAATAATTATATATACTTTATTCATATTAGAGTTGGTTCTTGAATATTGCGGGCCATCATCATGAGCGTTAATGATTGCAGGAAAACTAATAGCTGGCACCCTTGGGGACTATTAAGAGCCAGAAAGTTATTTGTCCCTCCCCTAAATGACCTCGGACTTTTTTTCCAGCCCTCTCTGGGTTTTGACTCTTTCTACAGCATCCCTTGCTTTCAGACTATCAGTTGTCACATTCTGAAATCGCTAATATATAGGAACTTAGCAGTTTCCTTTCTCCTTTAGTGTTTCACTGACAAAATCAAATCATTCAGCTTGTTAAAATTCCATCTAAAGCTCTGATTGAACACTCAATTCTGTTCTTCAGTGTCTGCACTATATACTATACATTTTAGCCACTCAAAGATCTTTTCTGCAGATTTCAAGATCTTTTCTTCTTGATCAAATCGTGCATGATCTCACTTACATGTGGAATCTGAAATAGTCAAATTCATAGAAACAGAGTAGAATGGTGATTGCCAGGGACTAGTGGGAGGGGCAAATGGGGAGATGTTGGTCAAAGGGTACGAAGTTTCAGTTATGCAGTATGAATCAGTTCTAGGAATCTAAAGTACAGCAATATGACTGTAGTTAACAGTATTTATATACTTGAAATTTGCTAAACGAGTAGATCTTGATAATTACTTTGATTATGGCAAGTATTTAACAATGCATATGTAGATCAAGACAGCAGGTTGTATATCTTAAATACGTACAAGTTTTATTTGTCAATTATACTCCAATAGAGCTGGGAAAAAAGAAATTACAATTCAGCATAATAACTTAAAACTATGGCTTAATTTTTAAAAAGAGGATCTGCTATGTCTGTGATAGGTTATATTGCTATCAAGTGACCTTCAGAAAAGTGAGAGGATACTCTCAACATCTTGCATTTGTATCTGAGTGACACAGGTCTTTAAAGGTCCATATCTTTAGAGATTCAACAAGGAAATAATTGTACTATCTCTTTTTTTAAAGCAAAAAAAATGACATGTAAATTAAAAAAGCTACACCAAGTTTTTCTGGTTTTAAAAAATTATAAAAGCATATACTAACTCAGCCTTACAAGAACCAAAATCTCAGCTCCATAATCCAAGTAACATTTATTACATTTCTTGATTTTTTTTTTGGTATGAATTTTAAACAAGCAAACCCTTAGGGACTTTATTACTCGCCATGAAAACACTGTATGAGAGAGACCAGAACTGCCACAGTTGTCTGTGTGAATGGCGCCCCCTGAAGTTGTGCAGGAAAGCGGTCCCAAGTGAGATTGCGTTTATAATAGGTTTGTGTAATTTGGTTTTTTAGAGAGTTTTCAGTGTTTCAGTACCCAAACCATCCCAGTGTCCAAGATAATACATTCAGCTCCCACTCATTCTCCTCATTGTGAATGTTTATTAGCAACATACATTGTAATTTTGAGAATATTTTTTTCTAGGAAATAACCTGTCTACTTTTTTCATCATTTCAAATATTAGAAATGTAGTTATACAAAATAAAATAAATCCCAGACTTCAGCTGATTCTTCCTGCTTTTCATTCATAAATAGTAAATTCTGCATTTTAATAGCCTTTATTTATAAGTTCGTATTTTTAAAATTTGAAACACTATACTCTTTTTATCTTGCCTCTCAGTCATGTCCCTTCCTCTGGTCAACCTCCTGCCCCAGCACACACATACACAGATTCCTAAGCAGCCCATAGGTGTAGGCATTTACACGTGCTGTTCCTTCTCTTTAGAAAGCCCTATTTCTGTTTCCTCCACTAGCAAACTTCTATGCATCCCACAGAACTCAAGTGAAATGACCCATCACCTCCCCTCTGAAGCTTTCTCTGTCCAGTGTACTGGGCTGAGTCTCCTCCCATGTGTTTTATAGCACCTTGTCCTTCAGTCTGTCTAAGGCCTTAGACTCCTGTGTACCAGCAGTCGTGCTGAACTGGAAACTCCTTAAGGACACGACCCTTAAATCTCTTTTGTATCCACCTTGCCTGACAGATAGCAGGTACTCAATAATTGGTGAACAGTTGCATGAATTTCATTTCCGCCCAATGAAAAAATTCCCTGTACTCTCAACTAATTTAGCAGATTACGACTTAGTAAGTTTGAAGTTCAATACATTTCTGATTCTCTCATCAAATAACAGAAAATGTAAACATTTAAGAATGTCGCTGTAAACACTTGGAGAGGGGAGGAGTTTAGGAGTCTTGGCTTTGTTTTCTGTTGCTTGTCGTGAAACATCTTGATTTCTCCAGGTGGAGAAACCTCTCCCATGTGGGCATTGACGTGACATCACAGTAGAGCACAGAATTGCAATCCTTTCTTTGTTTTATTATTTTATTAATTTATTTATTATTTACATTTGCAGGTTACAAAAGCTGCAGCCAACTACCCAGGACAAATGACTCTTCATCGTAAACCTTTCCTTGTGTGTGGAGGGGATGGGTTTACTCAGTCCAACTTTGATGGCTGCGTCACTTCTGCCCTATGTGTTCTGGAAGCTTTGAAGAGCCATATTTAGTACCTGTGTTCTTATTCTCTACAGGTATGTTGGGGTTTTGTTTTCACGATTTGTTGTTATTGATTATTTTGTTTTCTATTTTGTTGAGAGAAATTACTGAAAAATTGTTCTTTACTTGTTTTTTCGTGTGGGGTATAAAATCAGTTTGATAATTTCAATAGTTACAACTCATGCTAAAATGAAAACTCCTTGGACTTTATACTTTTCTTCACTTTTCTGAATTGCCATGACTACTCCTTGTTGGAGGCAAAGTAGTGTTTAGGAATAACAAGTGACTCTCCCCCCGAAAATTATGTCAAATCAAAATAACAGTTCATGTTCCAAAACCTTTATTATCCTTTAGAAAATTTCAGTCCCAGATAAAGAATATTCATTATCAAGGCCTCATGATAAATCTTCAAGTATGTCCTTGATTTAGTATTTTTGAAATTGCTGAACTACAAGATTCCTCCTGATTGTGGGTAACAAGAGTGTAATTTTTGTTTCTCATTTCTCCTCCAAGTTATTAAATGATCCTCAATTGTAGGTCATATATGTCATCATCTCTGAGAATGCAGTTTGGAGGGCAACTTGACTGACCAAGAAATGTCTCTTCAAATTTTCAGAAAATAACCATGTTCAACTTGACTCCCCAAGTCACACAGTACTTTTTAACCTTAAAAAAAATGAAAGATAAAATTAAATAGAAACTGAAGAAATTATATTGATCTTTACCTTCTGTTATCTCCTGAGGCTGGTGCTGATACCTGAATGTGCTCTTCCGTATGTGCTGTGGCATTTAGACTGTGTCCAGTTTAATGAATTTAATACAAAAAAAATTTTACTGAACCAGAAAATAGATGCACTTAAAATAGTTCAATAGTTGCCAATTTAGTGGTTCAGCATATCACCCACATGCTTCAGTGACAACCCCATGACTTGCTGGCTGGAGAGAAATTGATCCCCAGCCTTCCAAACAAGCTACCTGTTGCTAATTTGAAAAGCAGAATGGTGAGTTCTGCTTTGTCATTTTGAAAGGAAAGAAATTCTTGCAGCCTCTCGAGCTAAGAAAGGTTCAACAGAAGACTCCTTATCTTGGTAGTATTTAAAATCTCACACTTACATGCCCAGTATCCTACATACACAGGCACAGGCCTGAGCAGAATTGGCTTATGTATCTACAGAGTGGGTTTTGTGACTCTGTGGAATGTTATTAGATGCGTCCTATTAGTAATCAATTGATGGAAAACTGAAATGCCTGCATGTGGTTAATGTCATTTAGTTTTGACAGCAGATAAAGGAAGAGAAATTAATGTCATCTCAGGTATGATATGATGAAAAATACTGAGATTTCTTTCATCATTTTAGCCTACTCTTAATTAACATTTGTCTTTATTTTGGTTTTACTCTTAAAATATGGTAGAAAATATATTCAAATATATTAACTCTTTTGCTTTTAACTAACGTAATTCTGGAGCCATTTGATTGAAAGCATCCTGAAGCTTTAAATAAGTTATATTAAAGCTTTAAAGTGTTATATTCATCCCATGACTGTGTCTACTCCAAAGAAGAGAGAAAAAATGATTTATAAAAGTGAGATGGGTTACTTAGAGAAAGTCTGCTTCCAAGCCATTACTGACGACTTTTAATATCTATTCCTTCGAAGCGTGTTTCCCCAATAATCCTGCATCTGCTTAGAGAAGCCTATAGCAATTTGAGAAAAGGCTCAGCCCTGCTTAGTGTGTAGATCATTCTTACTTAGCTATTTTAATCATTTTGAAAACTCGTTTGACATTTAGATCCACCTCTAAGAGGAACAGACCAATTCCCTGATGCTCAGATAAGGAAAGAAAATGTTTCAAAGGCTTGTGTTCTCTATTTTCATTTATCCCTTCCTCTTTAGAAATTGAAATGGATGTGGGAGTATCTCGTGCTGGAAGCCATCCCAGAGGGTCATGAAACTCAGATGGCCAGGATGCCCTAAAAGACCCAGGCCGAAGGCATCCGACTCCCCTGGGAAATCGGGGTCAGTACCTTTTGGAACAGTTGCCAAGTCCCATGCATGTCAGCCCCACAGGACCACACAGCGCCACACTATTTCCAACAAGAACTTTTATTAATCAAGCCAGCCAAGGAAATCTGCTCTGTTTTGAAAAAGAGCATATTCAAGTGAGAAACGGCTTGAGCAGTGGGGTGATTTAATACTTGTTAGCTGATAAATATAGCCTTTGCTGGAATAAAACTTTATGATGCAGTGTTGAAAAGCTTAATTACTAAACTGTCTATGCACGTCTTGCTCAGGCAGCCAGGGTGACGAATTATAGTAGCAGAATAGTATTTTTCACCTTTGGCATTTCTGAAGAGGGAAAGTACGTCTAAAAGCACCGAGAAAGCAGTAATAATCCCAGACCAGATATTACGGAAGGAAAAAAAGACACTTCATTGAGTCACCAAGCCTTCTGTGGAAAATGCCACCATCCCCACCCCCCGCCTACTCACTACCTTGTTAAGTAAAAAGAACAGAGTCAATTTTACATTTATCTGGTATTTTATTCTCATCCGAATATGTGTGTGTATCTCCACTTTCCATCCTCCTTACACCCTTGTGAAATAAACAGAGCAGAGAGTTCTTATTCACATTTGACAAATGAAGAAACTGAGGCACAGAGATTGGCCAGCCAAGGTCACATAACCATGTGCAGAACAAGAACTCAGGCAGGCCTCCTATGACCCATTTCTACTTACAGGGCACCGTGCTGCTGCCAGATGAACATGATAATTAAAGCTGAGCTGAAATATTAGTTGGAGGTACAGTCAGCACCATGTGGTCCTCTTATTGATGTTGCATTTCAGAGAGCTAACACTAATCCTGATGTGATATATACAGGAGTCTACTATGGAGTAAAGTCTCTGTAAGTAGTGCCTAATGATTTATGTTCCTGTTATTTTCATTTGCTGGTTTATTTCCTTCTCTGGGGGGCACTTGCTGTGAGAAATGGCTGCATCCTAATGCATCCCACTGAATTTCAACCCAGCAGTAGTTGGTTGGTAGACAGGCTCCCTCTGCATTCAGCCTTTCCTGCTGTACTCCTCTTTGTCTCTTCAGCCCCTTTGGTTCATTTTCCTCTCCTCTGTCAGTTTCTCCCCTTTCTTACCCCCCTCCTCATTTTTTCCTCCCGCTTCTTACCCTGTGTCCAGTTCTCCATTCTCAGAAATCTGGAATATAAATGCAATCACTTTATGATTCATAGCATTTGTAATTTTGTGGTTTAGTCTCTCTCTTTTTTCCTAAAATCTAAAGCAGTCAATGCTGCTTTTTATTCAAGTTGATTGGACAGTCATTATTTTGATTTGTCAAAAGTAATGCAGGCGTTTAGAACCATCTGTTGCTTTCAGGGATCTCAAAGCTAATAACCTAAAAAATACATGTAAATCATGGTGCCAGGCTTTCTAGGATGATTAGCCATCTCCACCTAAAGATGCTAGTTAGGGGAAGACAAGTCCCTTGGAGTGGGAGGCAGGGTAAAGTTACATGCTGGTGTAACTGCAGACAGTAAATACGATGCTCTACCTCATGAAGCTGGGAATCCTAAGACAAAGAACCACGTTTCCCTGGGAGAGAGAGGGTCTCCAAACAGAAGCAGAGATCTGTCAGGAAAACACATTTGGCAACCTCCTTGCCCTCCTCACCTGCCCACACTGTGGGCAGATCTGGCTGACTCCCGAACTCTAAACTGTGTATCAGCGTGCTCAGGACAAGTGAGTACTTTCTGTAGAGAAGGCTCAGTAAGACACAGAATGTGGTCTCTGGGAAAAGGAGAATGCTTCTGCAAACCCAGCAGCAGCTTAGTCCTACATCAGGCAGCATCATGTGGCAAGATAAGCTGGGGAAGGTTAAAGTGGTCCTGTGTTTCTTTCTTAACAGATAGTAATTATAGTCCGCTTAAGAGTTCATAGCAGAATCCATCAAATGAGCCTACTAAGGAGAAAGAAGGCGTAAGATTTCTCCTAATAGCAACAACAAAATACCTGTGCACATATGCATATGGAATTTGCATACCAGTTTAGAGCAGGCTGGCTAGCTGTCTGTTTTTGTAAATAAAGTTTTATCGGAACATGGCCTTGCCCACCTGTTAATGGATCATCTATGGCTGCTTTTGCTCCGCAACATTAGAGATGAGTGTTTGGGACAGAGACCATACAGCCTACAAAGCCTAAGATAGTTTCTACCTGGTTGTTTAAGGAAAAACTTGCTGACTCCTATTTGATGGCAGTGGGAGGTGGGGGGGGGACAGTTACAAACCCTCCAAAATCTTTTTTAACACTCAGGGGTCTATGGACCTCAGATTAAGAACTTCTGAATCTCGACCCTATTGCTTTATGTAAATACAGGGTTATCTTATGTCCACACATCTGGTCCATTGTTCCTTGATCCTGTGCCCCATTGTAAATCCTTTAAGGCAGGCAGTACTAAGAGCACAGTCTCTGGAGTTCAAAAGATCTGTGTTTTAATCCAGACTTTTGCTCCTCATTGTGTGACCTTGAAGTTAAAGAACTTCACAGCCGCCTTCGTCATTGAAAAATGAGTCAATGGTGGCTACCCCAAAAGACTGTTGTGAGGGTTAAATACACGTAAAACCTTAGCAGAGTGCTGGACACGTAGTAAGCGCTTCATAAATGATAGTGCTCATGGTGCTGATGGTGAAGGGGAGGAAGAAAGAGAAGGAGAAGTGTAAGTAGATCCTCCTGGTGCCTCTGAGGCCCCTGTGAAGGCCAGTTTCCTCTGCAGTTTCATAGTTTCACTTGGGAGAGTAGAGGGTTTGTTCATCTGTTAAATGATGGTGAAACTCAGATGGTTAAAAGCTCCAGGCTCCTTCAGAACCTTCATGAGACAGAATAATAAGGTCTACCTGAGACCAGCTGTGGGCTGTTTTCTCTTTCCCTGTTATAGTTGGTAAGTAGACACGTGCTTGGGGAAAAGGGGGGTTTGCTCTCAAGTGACCCTCGATCGTATAGCAAAGGGAACTATATTCAATAGCTTGAATTAACCTATAATGAAAAAGAATATGAAAAAAATATATGTGTTTAACTGAATCGCTATGCTGCTCAACATTTTAAGACAGCTGTACTTCAATAAAATAAAGTGATCCTTGAAAGGAAACCATGAACTATCATGAACCTACTAAGGTCATTACCAGGAGTAGGGATAATATAAAATAGAAGCATTCTCTGCCACGAACGGTGTCTTTTCCTTAGCCAAGTTTGTGTGCTGAATGCAAAAAATCGCACGCTTGGATGGGATTCTGCTGAAGATTATTTACTTAATCTCTGAAATACTGTGAAAACTGGGAGTGAGTTATTTCACATTCTTAACATGTTTGGCTAAGTATGCAGATTCATTTCCTGTCCCTGGCCTTCGTTTTTAAAAGCTCAACTCCTGGTAAATTCTACGACATTCTGAACCCACCACTTTCTAGATGTGTAATCTTGAACCAGTTTCTTGTCTCTGAGCCTCAGGAGCTGCCTGTATAGAATGGGGATACTAATTTTACCTTCCTTAGGGTTATTCTGAGTGTTACAGAATGTCATATATAATGTGTTTAGCATTGTGCTCTGCCCAGAGAAAATAATAAATGTTAGCTGTTGTTATTACTATTATTATTAGTGACATATGACTTAGATAAATAATTCGCTCTCATAACTATCGCTCCATCCATATGTACCTTTAAACCTAGCTAGGGAGCCAGTTCCTTACTTGTAAAACTCATCGGGGACTGTATTCAAGTATCACTGTAAGTTTGGCTTCATTTAGAGTCGTTTTTCCTCAGAAGTTCTTATTGACTCTTGAGTGAATTGAATGAATGAATGAATGAATCTATGCTTTATGTTTTACCGCTGTGCTCCTTAACATACCTTGCAGAGCATCTTGGTCTTCCCCAGCCAATCTTGTCTCCTCGCTCTTGTGATACTGATCACACGTGTACTAACCTGTTCAACATCTCCTTGCCACCAAAACTGTGAGACCTACGAAAGCAGGGCCTGGCACAAAGGAGGCGCTCTGTAAACATCTGTTGATCCCGTGAGTAAATGGATTCAACTAATTAGTATTTCTTAAGTGCCAAAGGAAAACATTGCTGATACAGAATTATCCCCTAGAAGAAAAATGTACCAACCTTATCCTCAGTAGTGGAGATAATTCCATGGTACCTACATTCTCCCTGAGTAGTTTCTATTCAGTCACTAGGTGATCTCAGAAAGTCCCTGCTTTATGCTGCCTCCCATTACTTGAGAAGTCCTTATCTGGAGAGTGGGGAAATGTGGGAGAGCTGCTCTACTGTTTAAAACCACCTAATAAACACTTGTACTTCACTTATCATCATCTTGCCTCGTATTTAAAGGTTTCTGCCCATGAAGCCAAAAACTTGAACAAAAAACACCAGACTAAAGAAGCCCGGTGCATCTGTTTCACAGTGCTCTATCTGAAAAGCTGGACTCATATATTTTGAAATGTATTAAAACTGGATAATTGAATTATGTGGAGAGGGAGGTTAAGTGAATTTCTATTAACTGGAAATCCTTTTTTTGCCTCAACTTCTGCACTGCTGTCTTTCTAAAATGCTCGGTTCACTTTTTTTTTTTTAAGTGCCTGTGGTATGCCTGGCATATTAAAGTTGAATGAATCTTGCAAAGCCTTAGAATCAGGATTTCTTTAGAATGTTGTAAGCTCCATGGAGACAAAAGTTTTTGTCTTTTTTTTCTTCACTTTGGAATCCCCAGTATCCAGAATAGTGCCTGTCACTTATTGAATGAATAATTCAAGAACATTCCAATCATCAGCAATTAATTAGGAGGCTATATTATGTAATTAAAAGATACAGCAAAAGAAATGAAAAACTAACAGTTTATGAAATCTGACAAGGTACCAAAAAATGAAAATGACAAAGCTTTCTGGTTTTACTTGTGAATATTTAAGTAAGTTCCATGAAGACAGGAATCATGTGTGTCCCCCAAACATAGCACAGAGCAAGTTGCATGGTAGACCCTAAATATATTTCTGTTGAATGATTAAATAATTGAAAGAAGGAAAAGCTTAAGGGAAAATGAGCATTACATCCTAACAAACCCAAAAGAAACAATCCTAGAAATGCAAGACTTAGAATGGGCCATCTCTGCGTAGTTGGTGCTTGTGTGTGCACGTGCGTGCCAGAGTCAGAGAGGGGAGGCCAGCGATGCTTTCCCTGTGCGAACAATCAGCACAGCTCCTGTGGCAGTGTGTTCTGCACTGTGATTTATCACCTACCAACAGCATGTAATCAGGGTCTATTGGCTGGTTTCTTGGTATTCTTTTGATTAGAATTAAATTAAAGTTGACAAGTCTGACTCCACTAGTATCCAGTAATCCTCTTCAGGGAGAGACCAGGGACCAACATCTCAGATATTGTCAATACCCTCTTCCTTTGCTCTACACAAGGCTGAGCTCCTTTCACAGTCTCTTAACTCAGCAAGTCAATACTCCTAATGCTGTTAAGTGTCCAGTGTCTGTTCCTAGGCTTCCTTGTTGGGGACCCACTTGTAACTATTTCACCCAGCTAACAAGCATAAAAGGCTAACTTGTGGGTAGTGTTTACAAAAGTACTGCTCCCAAGGAAAATGCTCTGATTCTCTCAGCTTAGGCATTTATGAAGGATCCCAGAGCCTTTCCCAAAATGAGAACGTTTCTGGGGGATTTGTATCAGGTCAGGGTTTTTGTGTTCTTGTTTTCAAATAAGTTTGACTTAAATAAGTTCAACTGATAGTTTTTGTATACCAGCTTTAATGCTTATAAAATTTTTACTGAGGTATAAACCAAGAACCAAAAGATGGTCAGAAAATAAACTGTTAATGAGACAGAGGCCATTGTGGAGAAAACAAAAACAGGCAAGTGTCACTTCACTGAGAAAAATGTACCATCCAGGGTGAACAGCACTTTGGCAAATTAGCTCTATATTATAGGAAAAAGCTAAAAGAATGTGCCCATAATCAGGAAATCTATTCATTTAATAAACCATATTAATATTTACAATAATAAAAACTTTACAATTATTTCAATAGATGCTAAAAATTGTGTTATAAAATTAACATATATTACTGATAAAACCTATGGTAAACTCATAAAAGGGAGCTACTCTCTTAGAGAGATGAAGGCTATTTTAAAACCTTAACAACCATCACAACTGAGAACAAATGACTTGAGTCATCTACATTCAATTGGGAAGACGTCAAAGATCCTTGCATCAATGCTTTGAAGTTTCTAGAGACGGCTTTAAGGCATGGACCATATTTAGGGGATGTGGACATTGGGAAAGAAAGGCAAAATTGTTACTTATTTCTGTCAATATGATTATACTCCTAGAAAACTCAGGTGAACTAACTCAGAATTAATAAGACATTTCCAGTCACTGCCAGAGAGGCTGAATTATAAATGCTCAAAAATCAATGACTTTTCTGTATGCCATAATCAATGCAAATATATCTTGTATATATTTTTATTAACAAACAACAGAATACAAAGGAATATCTCTAGGAAGATAGATCCAGAATTTATACACGGAAACATTTTCAAAATTTTAATGATATTCTAAAAGTTTTGAATAAGTAGAAATATATACCATGTCCCTGAAGGGGACTATGGAATACTATGAATTTTTCCATTTTCCTCAAATTAATTTATATATTAAACATAATCACAATGGGATTTTTTTAATATGAAAAAATAGTTCTAAAGTTCATCTGGAAAAAATTTAACAGGCAAAAGTAACTAATAAGTTTATGAGCAAGCAGGTCATAAGCATTGAACTTATCAGCTGTTAAGATGTATCATAAAATTAGATCGGTAAAGCAGTTTCACTATGGATTCTAGAATTGACACAAGTCAATGGAAATAATAGCTAGAAAAGCATGTAATGTGATAAAGGGAGCATTACAAAAACAATGAGAAAGAAAGAATTATTTAAAAATGATTTGAGGAAAATTGACTATTTGGTTAAAAAAAGAAGGAAAAAAAGGAGAAAGAATTAAATGTGATTCTATTCTTATACCATATATTGCAATAATTTCTAGATGGACTAAAGGGGCAAATACAAACTAATATACACCTTTCCCTAAAAGAAGAAACTTTAGATAAATATTCAAAACTCTTAGAAAACAAAACTAAAAGTTTACATACCATTATGAAAAAAAGCACCTATAAATGATTTACAGTAAAAATAGTAATAGCCCTAATATAAAGAAAACATCTTAACAAAGCTTAAAACTTTGGCTCAATTTTTTTTAAGAATTAAAATTTGTTGAATTAGAAAAATTTTTTTAGGAATTAAAAATACTAATTTGAAAAGATATGTGTACCCCCATGTTCATAGCAGCATTATTTACAGTAACTAAGATATGGAAACAACCTAAGTGTTCATCAGTGAATGAATATATATATTCCATATATATATAATGGAATATTATTCAGCCCTAAAAAGAATAAAATCTTGCCATTTGCAACAACATGGATGGACTTCAAGTGAAATAAGCCAGAGAAAGAAAAATACCATATGAACTCTCTTATATGTGGAATAAAAAAACAACAATCAAGTTCACAAATACAGAGAACAGATTAGTGGTTGCCAGAGGCAGGAGATTGGGGCATGGGAGAAATGGGAGAAGGAGGTTAAAAAGTGAAAAAAAAAAAAACAAATGAAAAAAAACAAATAATGTCATTTACAAATGTTACAAAAAATGAATATGTAATCACATCACGTATTAAGTAGTATGAATTTGTATGTAGTCATTTGGAAATTTTCCCCCTTCTGTGGTAAATGTTTGATATTTTCCCTGTCAATATACATAGGTATAATTCATCCACTTTCACTGCTATGCACTCTTCCATTTTATGACCATACCATAGTTTGTCCATTTCACCATTGATGGACAATAAGTTGCTTTAAATTTTTACTATTATAAACAGTGTTGTAATAAGTGTCCTTGCACATGTCTTTGTACACTTGTGCAAGAGTTTTCACAAGACATAATATTAAAAATGTATCAAAATTGAATGTGAGTTCAATGGAATATGTTATATATTTTTCTACTCTATGTGTTTTTAATAATTAATAATTTAAAATTAATTTAAAAAAGAAATATTATGAAGAGTACCTTAAAACCAACTGATACACTTTTCCTGTAATTAAAATGGCTACATCCAGGTAGGGATGGGGTGAGAGACTGGGGACACTGCTTGGTAGCAGATCCTCAAGAGGATAGCAGGACTACATGGAGCCAGAATCAATGCATTTCAAGTCTACATGTGTTCCCTGGCAGTAAAGAGCCACTAAGAGCATAGACAAGGGGCTATCAAAGGCACTTGTGATGACCTTGGAATTACTTGACAGTTCTCTAATTTCCTGGCACCAAGCACTGATGTGATTCTGAGAAGTATTTTCCCATCTGGCTGCTGGAAATCAAGACAGACTGTCATATTTCTTTTGATGAAAAGAAGAACTACAATGAGACACCACTTCAGAGCCATTAGATGGCTATTATCAAACAACAAACTAACTAACTAAACTAAAAAATAACAGAAACTAACAAGTGGTGGTGAGGAGGACCTGGAGAAATTGAAACCTTTATGC